CCGGATTCATTGTCTGCGTAGTAATCAAGCTGAAGACAAAATTGGATGATATCTTGTGGTATAGGTTCCACGAAGTCACCTGCTAATGACAGCATAGAAGTTAGGAATGACCATCTCGGCGTCACCTTGGTTCTTCGATTTCGTTAACTGATTGCCAGCACCCTAGCCGTCGATTACGTGGTTTCCGGAACACTAGTCCTTGTCACTGCAGAATCTACCCGTGCTCTGTCCTGGAAGCAGTATAGTTTGGTGAAGGCCACTCCAGCTTTGGAGTTCGGTAATCTAAGTAGCTAGAAATTTAAACATTTAAATATCCAAGCGTCCACTGCACCACAAGCATCCACTGCACAGGTGCGCCGGCAACTTGACAGGGGGTCCCACTCACGGATGATGGTAAACAGACCACAAATAAGCATTCTGATGTCCCCTTACTTTTTAGGTTGAACACCTTAATAAAATAGCCTCTGCCTGGCGTCACATTATCACTCAGCGAGATCGAGTTTTCCTGTAAAAATTCTCCTTCACCGTAGAATGAATATGCTTACTAGAAAACGAGACACTTACACTTCCGCTATGTGAGCGGTTATTTGGACTTCTATCGCCTGGCTACATTGTTAAATAAGCCGGGGACAGAGTTGATGTTATTTATGACCTGCAGCCACCCTTTGGCTTATCGGCAATCATTCTTCGGTTAGAGTTCCATTTCCGACCCTCGAACCCACCGGTCTTTCCGTACCGGACTTCAGCTAATTTGTGTGATTCGTCAGTCGAGTCATCACACGAGTCATTTTCTGCTCGTTCAAATTGTCCTAGTTAAACTGCTAAGGTGGCAAATTGTTACTGATCTCTGTGTTTTTTTCTACCGCTAGTGCTCTGGCAAAAGTCAACTTTCGGTTGTCACCCGCAACCTCCACGGAGCTTGTGCAGGTTCTCACTGCCAAGCTCAACTATGGAATAGTTGTGGTGCGCGACCTCTTTCTCCTCAAAAGTCTGAGCAATTCTGCGAAGGTGAGCTTCCACATTTACTGAATTGCATGAACATTCGATTGCATTCCTTTAGAGAATAAAATAAAAAAGTTTAGAAATACCACCTTTGTTTAAGAAGCCTGAAATTCTCAAAACATGACGATCGCATTAACTGTGACCGATAAATGTAAATATAATTGTCAGGTGAAATCGTAAACATACTACTTCGTTTACATTAAAAAAACTCGCTTTTTCTCAAATTTCGTTGTATTTCTGGTATTGGGTTGCAGTTAGTTTCAGGTCATCCTTCAAAGTCCGGCAAGTATTCCGCGATTTTCCTTCTTTTAAAGCCTTTTTCCATAAGGTTAGGTTCTGTGTGAAATGTTTATCGAAACCTAAAAATAAGATATTTCTTAAAAACATTCACCAAAGAAATTAGTTTCTGAATATCACTTCTTACGTAGATGGTCTTTTGGGGCATACTTGCAGAGTCACCCAAACACGAAAAGTCATTATTTACGGTACAAAATCTTCGGCGCTGTAAAAAAAAATGCGGTCAGAAAAATTTATTTCTGCGTTTTGTGACAAAAAACTTCAAAAATTGGCAAAATAATTTTCAAACTCAATTAGTTCTTGTTTCTAGAAAACAGTGCGACTCCTTGCACTTGCTTCTACCAGGTTTTCCAGTCCAAGGAGAGCTTTATTTGAAAATGTTCTTACTTGTGATGGTACTTTTTTATAACACAACACAAAAGAACCAACGGGTTGGTTCTGTCATGGCCAAATTCTTAGATATCCGGAAACTTCCAATTTCGAAATAGTCCAGCCTGTTTTCCTTAAATAAAGTGAACGGAACATATAATTTTCTCAATTTAAATGCTGTCCTTTATTGGTCTTTCAATGATTAGGCCCTGAGAGTTTTATAGCTGATTGTCTCTCTGAACTAAAACCCGTTGAATACTAGCGTGGCAGGCGGTGGGGGAGAGTGACCAGCGCCGCATTTTGGATGCACTTTCGTTTTCGAAATCCTAATGGACAGACGTCCGCTTTAACGCTTCTCCCCAGCCAAGTCACTGCATTCAGTAAGTGAGTATAACCTGAGAGTCCCAGAACGATTTTCCACAGCATCGTCGACGTCTGTCAGCCACAGTACTTGTGCGAGTTCAGAGCTGCGTATAGCATTTCTGAGTATCCTATGAATGAC